CTCCTGGTGTCTGTTAAGTTGCTAATATCAAAATAAAAATAGGCATTTCTTTATATCATGTTTTCATTTTATTATTAAGATAGTGAAACAACAGCCAGGATGATGTGAATGACACTATAAACTACACTGTTTTTACCCGATATGTCCTTGGGAGTTTGTTTTCCTTATCAGTGTTGCGAAGTCTGAACTTAAGGAAAGGGTGCACGACTGAACTTTGTGCACTTAATTTTTGAGGAAAACCCCAATTAAATGTCTGCAGCTACACCTTCGTTTTCAGATGTCTCTGTTTTCCCCCATCCACACTGACATGGAGCAGTAGCGCTTTAAAATGAAAATGCTTCAGCTTTTACACTCGGTTTTCAGGGTTGGAAAAGTCCAGGCTAGTGTGGATGGAAAACTAAAATGTATTCATGTAAACAGGGCCTTAGATTATCATAGCTTTTAAAGCTTGTCAAAGAAAAGTGTGTTTTGCTTGAATTGACACATTATTTAAGTATTAGTCAAGTGATTAGAATCTTTTTCAATGGAACAAGAAAAAAACCTTAGGGTTTAACCCTGTATAAGTCTGAAATTTCATTCATAATAGTCTTAAAATAGTCTTATAAAGTCTGAAACCCTGATACATTGAGTCACGATAAGATCTCTCATATTTCTTGGAGTGAGTTGAATTAAAAAAAGGAATTAAATGATAATTTGTTAAGAACCAGCACTGATATTTAGAGAAATCTAAAGTTTCTTTTCTCATTTGACTAAAACAACAGACTTTTAATCTTAGTTTGGATAAGGGTAAAAAAAAAAACATGTTGGCTCCATCAAATCTCAACATCAAGCATGATTTGGGTCATTCTAGGTCAAATCGACATTATTTCAGTGGTTGTCAATGGTTCAGATGTTCATGCTTAGAGCTAGAAATGCCAGGGTCATAGGCTTGGTTACCAGTTTTTTAGGATAAAACTGCAAAATTAAAAACAAAAGTATTGACCCTACCAAATATCAACACATCATACATGTTTCACTGGGTTATTATGGGTCAAATCTGACTTTGTTTCGGTGGTTTTTGACCACTTTCATAGAGCCACTTTGAGATTCTCATACTATATTTCTTGCATTAAGTTTAATATTTAACAATTTTATTAAACCCACCAGGGGAAATCAGATTAGGGCAGTAGCATCATGATACAACAAACAAAAACCCAAATCACTTGCAAACAAACAATATTAAAAAATGCAATCCAGCATGTTTCATAATAACTTTCACTCATTCATTCCTTTTCTTTAATCCCTTTATTAATCCAGGATCGCCACAGCGGAATGAACTGCCAACTTACAACAATTCTATAGCAACTGCGTGATGCTACCATGTCAATATGGACCAAAATCTCTGAGGAACATTTCCATTACCTTGTTGAATCTTTGCCACAAAGGATTAAGACTGCAGGCAAAAGGTGGTCCAACCAGGTACTAGTAAGGTGTTTCTGATAAAGTGAGTGTGTAGCATCAGACTTCAATCAAAGTGTTCAGATGAAAACCTGATAGTTCATTGCGTTGCTGTAGCTCGGATGGCACTGCATTTCATTAGCAACACCAAGGTCATGCGTTTGATTTCCAGGCGCTGAGGGTAAAATTGCCAGCTGAATGTAAAAGTGTTTGCCCTCCCAAATCATCATATCATGCATGTTTTATTGGGTTACTATGCATCAGATCTTCCCATGTTTCAGTGGTTATTGACCACTTTAATATATCCAGAAAGAAGATCTGACAGTTCTCTGAATTTTTGGAGCTCAGATTGTAGTAGATGGCATGTTCTACACCAAGGTCATTGGTTTGATTTCCAGACGTTGAGTATTAAATTGCCTGGCAAATAGGAAAATGTTGGCTCCACCAAATCTCAACGACATCAGGCATATTTGATATTATCGTGCAGTGGACTCTCTTTGCCTTGGCAGTGACCAATGAGCTTTTTCTCTAAAGAACTGGCAAGCTGCTGTACTAATCGAATCTGATCCAAACTAATTTTCCTCAGCAAACACAAAGCCACACAAATCACAAATGCTGATTGTTATGCATGAGCATTTTTTTTTTGCCTCCTGCACCCAATGTCTAATGAAACCAAAAAGTGGAGACAGAAGTGTTTGTAATTATTGAGCGTCTTATGAAAATGAATTCATTATTCTGCAGTTGTTTACATCTGTGTAGCGCTTCTGATATTTTGATGAGCTTCTATTGATTTCCCGCCCAAATGGGTTCACATGATCCTGAAGAAAAAAAAGAACTAAAACATAAATAATCAGGCGTTTGAAAAACTTATTTTCCGGCATGAAAAGGTCATGAAGTAAATCTAAAAGTCTTCAGATGTCTAGGTATGGATTGTTTATTGGTCTTTGTGAATGGAGTTCTTAGATTTTATCTGCTCAGATTTTTAATACAAGTTCAGTTGAAGGCCTGTAAGGTTGCACTCACACTAGACAAGGTTTCTTTGAACCGTGCCCGGCCGCGATTGCCCCCTCCCTCTCCCCCAATGGCCCGCACTCACACTATATTTTTGCCTTCCGAGCCCGAACATGCTTGCATCATCGATAACGCCACTGTACAGTTAGGAAGAGAAGCGCTCTCGCTCAGTACAACAGAGATTGCTTTAGTTCTATTGTTTTGTATAGTTTTGAGTCATTTGGGATGCAATGACGCACAGTTACATCTTTTGCTGAACAGATGCAACACTCATAAATTTTCATAAAATTGTTGTGCAGCACAAATTAGGAGGTTTGCTGACGGTTCAGCTGAAATGCTGCGAGGGGTTTTACAGAATAAGACATTAGATCATTCTATGAAAAGTAAGAATGATCAATAAATCAATACATATAACACAGTCCCTTAAAATTGACGTTGCTACATCAGTTTCTGGCTCAAGCCCAACCAAATCATGCTCTGAACCACCTCTTCTAACTGGGCCAGAGCCATACCAAGATAAATTAGCAACGCCAAGGTCAGCTGTTTGATTTCCAGGCGCTTAGAGTAAAATTGACTGCCAAATATGAAAATGTGGGCTCTACCAAATCATCATATCATGCATGTTTCACTGGGTTATCATATCGTCACCTTGGAATTATAAGGCTCTATTTGCATTCTGAATGATTTTGAGATATTGAGCTTTAAAGTTTTTGCATTCCATAGCAGTGTGTGAAACTTTTTTTTTTAAATCTTAAAATGTAAATAACTTATAAAAAAAACATGCCATAATGTAAATAAGTTGTCATTTAATAAGAATATGTCAAATACTCAATTTTGACAAGATGTCAGATAAAACCTTATAATTCTAAAACAAATATATATCAAATCATCTTATGTTTTAGTGGTTTTTGACTACTAAATATTCATACAATTTGAGCATGGACTCATTTGAGAAAGTTAGAATCCGACATACTGTAAATAAAAGGAAATTTCACAACAAGCAAAGTGTTTGTTGACACCTTTAGATGAACCATTTAAATCAAGATATTGGAATTTAAATCAAGGTATATCAAGAATAACATCACGCTGTTGCTGCAGATTTGTGGGCTGCACATCCATGATGCAAATCTCCCATTCCACCTCATCCCAAAGGTGCTTTATTGGATTAAGTTCTGGTGACTGTGGAGGCCATTTGGGTCCAGTGAACTCCTTGTCATGTTCAAAAATCCAGTCTGAGATGATTCACCCTTTATGACATGGTGCGTTAACCTGCTGGAAGTAGCCATCAGAAGATGGGTACTCTATGGTCATAAAGGGATAAACATGGTCAGCAACAATCCACAGCTAGGCTGTGGCTTTGACATGATGCTCAATTGGTACTAAAGGGCCCAAAGTGTTCCAGGAACATATCCCCCACACCCTTACACCACCACCACCAGCCTGAACCATTGATACATGGCAGGATGGATCCATGCTTTCATGTTGTTGACACCAAATTTTGACCCTACCATCTGTATGTTGCTGCAGAAATCGAGACTCATCAGACCAGGCAACATTTTTCCAATCTTCTATTGTCCAGTTTTGGTGAGCCTGTGTGAATTGTAGCCTCGGTTTCCTGTTCTTAGCTGACAGGAGTGGCACCCGCTGTTGTCTTCTGCTGCTGTACCCCATCTGCCTCAAGGTTGGACATGTTATGTGTTCAGAGATGCTCTTCTGTATATCTTGGTTGTATCGAGTGGTTATTTGAGTTACTGTTGTCTTTCTATCAGCTGGAACCAGTCTGGCCATTCTCCTCTGACCTCTAGCATCAACAAGGCATTTGCACCCACAAAACCGCCGCTCACTGGATATTTTCACTTTTTCGGAAAATTCTCTGTAAACCCTAGAGATGGTTGTGCTTGAAAATCCCAGTAGATCAGCAGTTTCTGAAATACTCAGACCAGCCCGTCTGGCACAAACAACCATGCCATGTTCAAAGTCACTTAAATCATCTTTCTTCCCCATTCTGATGCTCAGTTTGAACAGCAGCAGATCGTCTTGACCATGTCTACATGCCTAAATGCATCGAGTTACTGCCATGTGATTGACTGATTAGAAATTACGAGCAGATGGACAGGTGTACCTAATAAAGTGGCCGGTCAGTGTATGTAGATATTTATCTATGCCAATCGTTTCAAACTTCTTAAAAATTACTTCAAACTTTCAGACTAGGCTTTCTCAAGCCACCATAAAGTTTGTCTACGAAATTTACTTTTCTAGTTACAATTATTATGTTTAGAAATGTGTTGAATTTTTTTTTTTTTTTAATTGAGGATAAAAATATACAGAGGGGCTAATAATTCAGGAGGGATAATAATTCTAACTTCAACTGTACAAATAAAATAAAGGAATGAAAGAAAGCACACAAAAACTAATGACTTGTCCAAGGGGCTCAGAAAGAAGGACTGCCCATTGCTTCCTCGCATGACACTAAAGGTATGAAGGCCTCCAAAAAAAGCAGTGCGCAGGATTGAAGTGCGGGGAGGGGAGGGAAGAAGATGATCTGAAATAAAAGCAGCTGTTGCTAAAGGGCTCTCTGGATACGCGTTACGTTTTGTGGGTGCCGCTGGAGCAGGTCTCCACCAGCCTCAGGAGAGAACTAAAGCAGACTGCTGGAGAGTCTGACGTCCTGCTGGACAGGCTGAACACTACAGGCCCAATCTGTGGATCTCTAAACCTCCAAAATCCTGCAGACTGAAACACAGTTGGTGAGTTTACCGGCTGCTTGGATTGTCTGATATGGATCCTTTTCACATTTCTGGGTGTCTCAGTAGCAGAAGTCAGGATAGTTGGGTAAACTTAGAGTAAAGGTAGATAAACTTTCAACACATTTCTAATCATAATAGTTTTAATAACTCATTTCTAATAACTGATTTATTTTATCTTTGCCATGATGACAGTAAATTATATTTGACTAGATATTTTCGACACATCTATACAGCTTAAAGTGACATTTAAAGGCCTAACTAGGTGAATTAGGCAGGCTAGGTTAATTAAGCAAGTTATTATATAATGATGGTTTGTTCTGTAGAATATTGAAAAAATAATTAATAAGGGGCTAATAATATTGACCTTAAAATGGTCTTTAAAAAATTAAAAACTGCTTGATTCTAGCCGAAATAAAACAAATAAGACTTTCTCAAGAAGAAAAAATATTATCAGACATACTGTGAACATTTGCTTGCTCTGTTAAACATCATTTGGAAAATATTAATGAAAGAAAACAAATTTCAAAGGGGATTTATTAATTCTTAATTCAACTGTGTGTATATATATGTATATACGTAACTAATATAACACATATGTAAATATATATATATATATATATATATATATATATATATATATATATATATATATATAAATATATATAT